AAAACAATTAAAAACTACTTCAAAAAAAGAGTAAGTAATATACGAACCATATGGCATTGAAGTGGTGTTTTACTGGAAGGGCTTTCGGCTGACATACTCTCGTATTGATGAGCGATCAGCTCGAGTGCTGATCTCTGAAAAACTGAAGTTTTGTGAAATGGAAAATGAAATTAAGACACTTACTGAATATCTCATTTTTTTGAAATTTCATCCAACGAAAGTATCGCAAGTGTTTGGAATATATTATGGTACATGAACAGGGAACATGAATCTGAGTGATTTTGAAAATTCAATTCAACAATTTCTTCGTTAAGAACAATCCGTTTGTTGATGACGTTCACATCGACAATAATTGGTTTACTGTTTGTGAGAAACAAAAAATGATACAATACGAGCAGTTTCAATTTGAGTAAATGAGAGTAAGATTGACATGATCGACATTGTGATGCAGACCTGTGCATGAAGCTGTGATATAGTCTCTTCACTGCTATCAAGATCCTCCTTCAGCTGTGTCAAATAATCAGCAGCACGAAACAATATGGCCGCATTCGTTGTTTTACAACCTAAGGATGTCAGCGATGCTGGCAACAGTTCCTTCAATTCTTGATAGCCATTCTAAAAGTTTCGCATAACCTGAGACAAATCCGAGATTCATCACTGAATAATTTCCCAAATGAGAACAAACATTTTAGAAGATCTTAGAAACATATGGTATGGCATAGTTCATTACAGTTCAAGAACAATTGTCTGTTTTCTCTATCAGTATTAAGTGAATTGAGTGAGTCCAGAAACTCAAGTGATTCATTCATTTCGGAATTTCGGGAATTTTTTGAGAATTGTATGGGACGCTGAGGTAATAAATGATGGTAGTTCAAAATTTCTCTACAGACAAACAGTCTCAATTGACAAACAAATTACATTGATTGCTTCTCTGCGCTGTCGTTCACAGCGCAGATGTGTGGCCTTCTTGCGATCCGTTGTATCAGGGCTTTTCTTTGGCTCATTTGAAACCACTGGCGTTCCAGGTACCATTGGATCCATTTCTGTTTTTTTGGAAATATTTGTTGGTCAATACAGAAGAGAGCATTTTTCAGAGTTATTCGAACCGCTGACAATATATGAATAAACCAAAACCATCCGAAACTCCTAACGAAAACCATATGCAGGACCTAATCGAAATTCGTTATTTTTTGAGAGGAACTGAAGGCTCTGTGGATGAGGCTCATAAGCCACGATGAGCGTCGGCAACATTTCACAATATTCTTTCACATTACAGGAATATTTTACTAACTATCAGCTGAGTTGGAGACTTATCAAAATGGCTGATTTAAGGGAATGGAGAAATCAGGGATAAAGCAACTGAAATTACATCGTGACAGAATGAATGATAGTGTTATGAATCAATACTAACAATAAGATCAAAGAATAAACGGCACTGTAGTCGGCACTCTGACAACTAATTCTCAAAGTCTAACAAATAACAACTGATTTCACTCAATTACCAAATTCAAATTTGAAGAATGTGGACAAATATTTGTTCAGTTACTAGATTTTTCTCTCTTTTCACAAACTGCGGAAAGCTGCTTTCTTCTGAACGTTTCGTATTACTAGCAAAGATTATGAATGAAGGAAATACCAAACGTGATGACCGTACAAACGGAACAATCAACAAATTTCTTGAGTGCAATAATTGTTGAATACTTAATGAATATCTTAAATATCGTAAATCTATCGTAAATCAGCTTTATTACCGCAACAAACTCGGTGGAAGTTAGCATCCGAATGAAATGTCCGTTCGATCGGAATCCGACTGAATCGACTTTTCAACATTCGGACAGTCGGAATACCGACCGAAATTTATCGGATTTTTCCGACCTAACATCAGTCCAATGTCATCACTATTGGAAACCCTTCCGAAACTCCTAATAAGGTGACCATATGGAAGGAGACCTAATCGATAATCCTTATTTTTTGAGGATATGAATTGAATAATCTGCTGATGAGGTTCAGAAGCCAGGGTGGATGTATCAGAAATGTGTGAATTTGAAGAATTGGTCGGATGAAGCGCACTAAACTTTCCGATCGAATTAAAACTTGAAACATATGCAAACTGAGTGGCGATGGCAACCCACATCACGTGTTTTCAATCGATATACTCCCTTGTGCATCATCACCACTACGAGCGTTCTGTGAGAAACGTCACTTTCCCAGCCCTCTCTCTGTGTCTCTCTGACACATCATTGCGTTTGTGCATCTGTTTGATCTGCTGCTACTGGGATGTGTTTTCGTATTGCATTTGATCGATAAATTGAGTTGTTTGTTGGAGGATAAATCTGATTTCGATAAAACAAAGGACATGAGAATCTGATTCAGGAAAGAATTTTTGGATCGTTATTCGGAATCAGAAGACTTCATTGGAAAGCACAAATGTTCAACGATTCTTTAGTTGTTTGCCGTTTCGTTCGTTTATCAGGCTTTCCGATCTTGTTTGAGGCAAACGCCTTCTTGTTTTTTTTTGTTTTCATTTCAATTTATTGTTGATCTATCGGTTTAGCTGTTTGATCGTCACTATTTTTGTTATGTACCTCTGATCTAGGTTGCGTTGGAATGATCGATTCTTGATCTGGTTATGATCTATTCTTGATCTGATTTGTATGAAAT